GTTAGATCCTGAACAAACACAGAACAAAGCCATTTCTATCGAAGAACAAAATAAAGAAGCAAGAAACAAAATAACCCCAACCCAAGAAACAAAAGATTTTTAATAAGCTCATGAAAACTGCAAGGCATCCAAAAGTGAAGGAGTTTTCAAGGAAAAAGAGCTGTCAAAGAAAATAAAGCAAAGTAAGGGACTCCTCCAAAGACAGAAAGCCACATACATTAGCGTGGAGATCTGTACCACAAACGGAGGTTGTGATTCTGTAAGATCTGAGGAGCCAAACGTGGCCAGACTAGGCTCACAGCACAGTATTCAAGGCTAGAAGTTATCTAGTTATCACGTTATCTAGTCTGTGTATCACAGTCAATAAACTCCACTCATTATCCCTGCATCGAAACAGCAAACTGCATTATATTAAAGTACTTACAACCATCAGGAAATCAAATTCTTGTGTGGCACAGGCCGAGAAGAGAGGGGACTGAGACAGACCAATGTTGGGAGGATGCTGCAGTGGCAGGGAATGTATTTGGCAAGAAATGCCCAGATGATCCTACCAAGTGCCACAAGCCCCATACTATAGAAGAACCCAAAGCCTCGCCAATATGGCTTAGAGAAAAATTCATTCTTGACCCCCAAAATGGCAATTATTTTTAAACCGAGTATCTGAGCAATCCCCACCAGTCAGGTATCTGGGGGTATGTCTACACTACAAAGTTAATTCGAACTAACGGATGTTAGTTTGAATTAACTTTGATAGGCACTACACTAGCGCTCCACTAGTTCGAACTTAATTTGAACTAGCGGAGCGCTTAGTTCGAACTAGGTAAACCTTATTGTACGAGGACTAAGCCTAGTTCGAACTTACTAGTTCAAATTAAGGGCTGTGTAGCCCCTTAATTCGAACTAGTGGGAGGCTAGCCCTCCCCAGCTTGCCCTGGTGGCCACTCTGGGCACCACCAGGGAAACTCTATTGCCCCCCTCCCGGCCCCAGACCCCTTAAAGGGGCACGGGCTGGCTAAGGTGCCCGTGCCAGGTGCAAGCCTGCCAGCACCCAGCCAGCAGACCCTACACCTGGCACGGCACGAGCCAGCCACCCACTGCCACCCAGCCCTTCGCCTCTTCCCAGGACCAGGCTGGTGGCTCCCAGGAGACTGGCCAG